CCAAATATTTGGGTGACAACATTCCTTTGAAATGGCCTCGGAAATGGCTAAGCTTTTGGCGGCCGATTACACTTTTTTGGCTGAGTTCCACCTCTGTGTAGTATATCCTCTGTGACTCTACTTTGTTTACAAGATACATGGGAAAACTACTGTTAATTATGTTAAGTTATGATAATACATTACTGATATAAATTAGTGAGTAGTAGTGCTAAGTTAATTAATAATATAGTTAATTACGATACGACAGGTGCACACCATGTGCGCGATCTTGAACAAGTTCACGTTTTCATTAACGTTTGGTAATGATCAGCTTCGCGTTTGCTTTGATCCAGCGCCTCGTAGTCTGGTAAGTTTTCACCCATTTTCTTGTCTTCGTACGACTCTCCTCTCTCGTCAATTGGTATAACATAACATATAACATCTCCAACCTCTTCTTGATCTGATGTTCTGTCTTGATCTGATGTTCTGCCTTGATCTGATGATCTGATGTTCTGATGTTCTACAAAAGAAAATATCCTGGTCAAATTAATGAAAACGAGAGTTGAAAAGGGAGAGTTTGCATGAGAGTTGAGAAGCGAGAGTTTGCATGAGAGTTGGTGAGAGTTGAGAAGCGAGCGTTTGCATGAGAGTTGATAAGAGTTGAGAAGCGAGAGTTTGCATGAGAGTTGATGAGAGTTGAGAAGCGAGAGTTTGCATGAGAGTTGATGAGAGTTGATAAGCGACAGTTTGCATGAGAGTTGATGAGAGTTGAGAAGCGAGAGTTTGCATGAGAGTTGATGAGAGTTGAGAAGCGAGAGTTTGAATGAGAGTTGAGAAGTGAGAGTTTGCATGAGAGTTTTAATCAACTGTCATGTCCCGGCCAAACGAGAACAAGAGTTGCAGGAGAGTTGATTGGATATTACCGGTCAAACAAGCAAAAATTCTCATCAAAATTTGAACCAGCTGAAAGTCGCCATGAGAGTTGATGATGCATTTGACCGCCAACTGTCATCCACTCTCCTCAACTTGAACTGGTTCAAATTTTAATGAGAGTTGATGAGAGTTTTCGCTTCGTGCGCGGTAATATCCAATCAAGTCTCATGCAACTGTTGTTCTCGTTTGACCGGGGCACGAAAGTTGAGAAAACTCTCATGCAAACTCTCGCTTCTCATTCTTGTTTGACCAAGGTTTAAGACTGCATGATCCGTCCCTAATATAGCGAGAGTTTGCATCGGTATACAACTCTTGGTATAATTAGCGTGCGTAGCTGCAAAAGTTCTCAACAGGACACTGTTGAACGCTGTGTTTTAGAACAGGGGTTCTCATCAACATTCATTTGCAAGCAAGGCCGGATTTTGGTGGAAATAGTGGGGAGGTGGAAAAAAATTTGGGGGGAAGTGCAGCGGTTTAGCTTACGACACCCATGAAAAATTAGGGCTTAGAATGGGCCAAAGTCAACGACGTGACGTATGCATGTAGTGTACATATATCAGTGTATTAATGAATTATGACCAGGGCGCTTATATATATACGCCCTGATTATGACTGTACAACTCATCCAATTTTGCCCTTCATTACAATTAATACACAGTTTCTTTCAAAACACTGCATTAAAAGCGTACTTGACACAGAGATGAACGGCTATCACTGTTTCAATTTTACAGAAAAAAACTTTCTTACGAAGTGTAGACCCTAAGCAACCAAAAAATGTCAACTTTTCACTTTGATCTAGCATTGAAATTTTCCCAAGGGGAGGTGCATGATGTTCCAGGGGAGGTGGAATAATTATCATGTAGGGGAGGTGCAAAACGATCTCAGGGGAGGTGCGCACCTCCCACACCTCCTTTGTGTGAACAGTTGGTGGTCAAACGCAGAGAGTTGCAACCTCTACAGTGAAAACATTATTTCAGTTTAACTCAAGATATATTACATTTCTTCTCAGAATGACCAAAGTATTATACATAGGAAGGTTAGTGAAATTTTGAACATATTACCTTCAGCTGATATGCCTTCATACTCTTGTTTAACACATGGGATAGTTTCGTAAACTGGCTCCTGTTTTGATGAAAATGATGACTTTAAAATGTCGATTACACGTGTTGATAAGTTCTTTGAATGTTTGCATGGCGATAAAATATAATTGTTTTTGTTTGTGGAAACACCACGTACACGTGTTGTTTATACACGTGTTGAGTGTGCCCAATTCATCCCAGCTTCAAAAATTAACGTATAATGCTAGGAATAGTTTTTGATGGCTCCATTATGTTACCACAGGAGGAAAACTAAACTGAACTCACTTAATTTATACTGGACGGCTTTCTCCCTAGAGGTCCAGTAAGGTTCATATATATCTTAATGGCCAGTGTTACTACAGGAGGAAACCTAAACTGAACCAACTTATATTTAGACTGGATAGTTCTATCAGTTCTATAGTTCTATCATCTCTTATTGATCTAGTGTTACTAGAAGAGGAGATCTAAACTAAACTAACTTAATTAATACTGGATTTGCAGTTCTAAACTGCTTTCCCCAGAAGTCCAGTAAGGATCATTCATCTCTTATTGACCCAGTCTTTCAACAGGAGGAAACCTAAACTAAACTAACTTAATTTATACTGGACGGCTCTATCAGTTCTAAACTGTTCTTCCTAGAGGTCCAGTAAGGATCATCTCTTATTGACCCAGTCTTACAACAGGAGGAAACCTAAACTAAACTAACTTAATTTATACTGGACGGCTCTATCAGTTCTAAACTGCTCTTCTTAGAGGTCCGGTAAGGATTATTTCTTGCTGATCTAGTAATGCAGGAGGAAACCCAATCTGTCTAAACTAAACTAACTTTATATATACTGGGCGGCTCTATCAGTTCTAAACTAAACATTCGTAAATAATTTACCTGATCAATTGGCAATGATTCTTTTGGAGTTGCGTCTGCCAGTTGAATATTGACAGGAGTTGATAATTTTGGAGCTCGCTTTCGTCGTTTGTATGTTATCAATAAGACAATAATCACGATGCAAAATACGACGACACTCACTGTTGTTGCTATGATAATGATTGTGCTGCCTGTTTTTTCCTTGACTGAATAAAGATAAGAAAACATTAGAGTGATTTCAATTAACCAACTCAAAATCTTAAGACAACTAAGTTAACGTACAATAGCATGTTCGTGATATTATACTCTGAGTATATATTCACACCGGGCAAGCTCGAAACATATGCCTGGCCACGGTGGGAATCAAACCTACGACCTTTGGAATACTAGCTCAATGATCTGCCAACTCAGCTACGCGGTCAGATCGGTTCTGGGCGGCTCTAGTTCCGAAATATCACATACTCGTACCGACCTGACCGCGTAGCTCAGTTGGCAGAGCATTGGGCAAGTATTCGAAAGGTAGTAGGTTCGATTCCCACCGTGGCCAGCATTTTTTTCAAGCTTGCCCGGTGTGGATATACCACTCAGAGTATAACATCAGAAACATCATATTCACCTGAGTACATAACACCAACACCAAGAAAGAAAAAATTAAAATACAACTATACCAACCTGCTAAATTCGTAGCATTATATTGTGCATGAAAAGTAAAAATATTTTTAGCCCTTCTTTCATAACTTCCAGAATTTGACACGATGTATAAACTATTTGTGGATGATAAGACCACGACTTCAGTGCTTGCATTTGAACCGCAATATGTGCCAAGCAATGGAGCAGTGCCATTTGAACCATCGTATATTCTTAAAAATGTATCATTACAACTTGGTATGATCAGCTCTTTAAAGCTCAATGAAATGATGTATGTTTCAGCAAGCGTAATTAACCAGGAACAATATTGCGAGCGTGGATCCATCTCACTAACTGCAGCCTTATGTGATCTAAATGAACCACTAAGACCAGTCATTGTACGGCGGCACTCTGAAATAGAATTAAGGGATCTTAAAAATCAAACCTAAAATCTAGGCAGTTTGCTTGTATCATTTACCGTAATACTAGTACTTTGCAGTAAAGTATGATCCAGTAATTGGAATGTTCCATTCCATCGTCTTTTCATTGTTTTGAAAATCCCACTGGTCTCCATGCCATCACTTATTGTTCTGAATCAAATTTATTTCATACTTTCATAATCTCAGAGCCAAAGAATTTCAACCTGGGTTGATACTAGACAATTATCAGCCTTCAATATGCGGGCTCTGTCCAAAACTGCATGCACAGTCAATAGACCTTATGCATAATGACGTCACAGGGCTTGATGCCCGCGAGGAATGCTGGTCTTAGTAGTATTCGCCAGGCAAAATTTCTATAGTGGTCATTTTGAATTGTTTAATTCTTCCGGGCGTTGACAACTAAGACCAGCATTCCTCACGGGTATCAAGCCTTGTGACGTCATTATGTATAAGGTCTATTCAGACAGTGTTTATATTGTTAGCATATGTCATAAAAGATTGTTAAACAGTTGAATACTTTGAAATGTACATTTTAAAACTTCCATCCTGGAGTCGGGATCCAGAATCCGAATAATATCATTATCTGGTATACGGCCAGGTTAACAACGTTAGAATTATTAATTTATTACAAATACAACTATACCAACCTGTCAAATTCGCACCATTATATTGTGCATGAAAAGCAAAAATATTTTTAGCACTTCCAGAATTTGACACGATGTATAAACTATTTGTGGATGATGAAACCACGATTTCTGTGCTTGCATTTGAACCGCAATATGTGCCAAGCAATGGAGCTGTGTTATTTGGACCATCATATATTCTTAGAAATGTATCATTGCAACTTGGTATGGTGAGCTCTTTAAAGCTCAATGACACGTTGTATGTTTCAGCAAACGTAATTAACCAGGAACAATATTGCGAGCGTGGATCCATCTCACTAACTGCAGCCTTATGTGATCTAAATGAACCACTATAGGACCAGTCATTGTACGGCGGCAGTCTGGAATAGAATTAAAGGATCTTAAAAATCAAAGCTAAAATCTAGACAGCTTGCTTGTATCATTTATCGTAATATTAGTACTGTCCAGTAAAGTATGATCCAGTAATTGGAATGTTCCATACTTCCATCATCTTTTCATTATTTTGAAAATCCCACTGTTCTCCATGCCATCACTCATTGTTCTGACTCAAATTTATTTCATAATTTCATAATCTCAGAGCCAAAGAATTTCAACCTGGGTTATACTAGACAATTATCAGGCTTAAATATGAGCTCTGCCCAAAAATGCATGCACAATCAATTCAGACAGTGTTTAAATTGTTAGCATATATGTCATAAAAGATTATTAAACAGTTGAATACTTTGAAATGTACATTTTAAAACTTCCATCCTTAGCTATCGTACATGTTATATGATTCAAATGCAATTTTTTCCTGATTGT